GCAACACACTTTGGCTGAAACTCTGGATCTTGTTTTAAAACATTTCAGATCTGTAGCTAGAAGATATAAGAGGGCCTCTTAGGGTAGCCAAGAATTTCAAACATGAGTTAATATGGTTTCTGTAAGCTCTGCAGGGCAATCAGAAGTACCCATCTCACTCAAGTCTTGATATTACTTATTTCCATCACAACATTACAATGCAGCAGCCACTTGTTCTGTCAAAGGCTTTAGGTTCAATAGCTACAGTAGTTCCCCTTATCCACAACCTCACTTTCAGCAGTCTCAGTTAACAGCTGTCAACCTCGTTCCAAAAATATTAAATGAAAAATTCCAGAAATAAACAATTCATAAAGTTTAAATTACTCACCATTCTGAGTAGCATGATGAATTCTTGCACTGTCTCACTCCTTCCTTCCCTGAAGGTGAATCATCCCTTTGTCCAATGTCTTCACACTGTTCACATTTTATTCACTTAGTAGCATCTCTGTTATGCAATCCATTGCCATGGTATCTGAGTGCTTGTGTTTAGCTAATCCTTATTAAAAGCGCAAGAGTAGTGATGCTGGCAATTCAAATATGCCCCAGAGAAGCCATAAAGTATTTCATTTAAGTAAAAGGGTGAAAGTTCTTGACTTCAGGGGAAAACAAATCATGCTGAAATTGCTGAGATCTAATGAGTCTTCTATTGGTGAAATTATGAAGGAAAAAAAATTCATGCTGGTTTTGTTGTTGCACCTCTAACTGCAAAAGTTATAGCCACAGTGCACGATAAGTGCTTAGTTAAAATGGAAAAGGCATTAATTTGTGAGTAGAAATGAACAGAAGATGTGTTCCTATTGATGGCAACGTGTTGAGCAAGAATGCATTGAGCTTATAGGAAGACTTCAGGAAGGAATCCCCTGAAAGTGACACCCAGCTATTTGCCATATTGCCCGTAAGGAATGGCAATGGTTACAGAAATTCAGGAATAGGATTGGACTACAAAATGTAAAAATTATTGGAGAGAACATTCACGTGACTTAAATTTTATTACAGTAAATTGTTATAATGGTTCTACTAGTATCTTATTATTAGTTATTGTTATTTATCTCTTATGGTGCCTAATTTATAAATTAAACTTTGTCACAGGCCTGTATGCATAGGAAAAAACAGTATGTATAAGGTTCGGTACTATCTGTGGTTTCATGCATTTACTGGGGTTCTTGGACCACATCCCCCACCGATTAGGGGGAACTACTATATTTCATTCTAGGTTACCGTAGATGAAAATTCAACTATTTTCTATGTGGAAAAGAGTATCATATCTCCCACATGTCATGAAATTATCACTCAACTAGGTCAGATACCCAACTCCATAGTATTATCTTTGCTAGTCTATTTTCTGATCAAATTTTGGTGCTGAATACTTAGTGAGGTATGGTTCACCACATAAAATAGATATCACTCAAGGTATTTCAAGTAGAAAGAGCTTTCATGAAAAGAATTATATGCTTATAAGATTATGGTAAACTGGAAGAATGAAAGTCAGAAGCCACCCCCAGTCTTTGACTTCAAATTCATATGACCACATCTGCCATGATTGCCATTACCATGACCACTGTCTGCATTCACAAAATTGGTGCCAGGATAGTGGAGCATGTGGTTTAGCTGCCAACACTTACATCAAGAATTTAAATCATGAGTTCATATTGTGTATATAATTACATTACTATATAATGTGACCACATTATATAGGAGGATTGCACCCACCTCCCTCTGTCTTCCAAAAATTTCATAAGTGCCTCAGACTGACAGAACCCAAATTTGTGAGAGAATCTGAGAAATGTCATTTTTAGTCCTCCAGACACTGTAATACTGGGGAGGGAAGGAGAGTGTATAAAGGGGATAAGATTGGATTTGTAGAGCCAATAAATATCTAGCACACTGACCTACAGAGGGTTTTCTGAAGTGGTTAATATTTAGGGTAGACTCTAGGTGTGAACTCCAAATCTCATCTCTAAAGGTGTTAGAAATTTATTCCCCAAATTCATCTGGCTGCTCTTTTGCCTCACAAGCTCCCATACTCCTTTTCTTTCTGGAGAAAAGACCAGACACCACGGTTACAAGTATGTAATAATGACAGTAATAATTCAAGCATAATGAGAACACTTAAATGTGATGAATAAATACAGCTTTATCGAGCAGTTATTTACTCTTTTGTGACTCTATAACATCATTATTAAATTTTCACTGAGAACTGAACTGAGAAAAATATTTGAAATCCAACTGTATGTTACAGATAATAAACACTAACTATATAACATGCTTATTAAAATGTAAATGCTGAACTTGATTCCAGATTTATTAATCAGAACACAAGCCACATTCAAAGGTGAGGTGTGAATGTCACTAACATAATGCTACCTACCAGGCAAGACTCATAATCTACCCACCCTCTCATTACCAAATAGGTAGGTAATCACTGTTCTTGAAGGACTGGTTCTAGGACAGCTCCTCACAGGGAGGAGAAACTTGGTTAAATATAATGCATCAGGGATGACAAAGGAATTTCAACTGGATGTTTCCTTTTTCCGCACGGCAAATTCAAAGACAAAATATAAAACTGATAAAAAGAGCAAACTAACTGGCTTCTCTAAAATAGCAAAAAAAGGGTTTCAGAGACACCTGGGGACTGATAGAGTACACAAACTGTGCATATGGACTGACAAAATAGTCTCAGTAGTTAAAAATACATACGGAGTGACAAAATACTCTTTAAACTCTTGTAGTTCAATTGGGAAATACCCAATAATTCCAATTTTATCTTTTCAGAAATGGCTGAATTATTTAAACCTTCCACGGTTTTTCATTTAAGAATGGCTTTTAATTTGGACATCGTTTCTATGTACATGTTCAAATACAATGTGACCTTCTGACAGCTTCATAGGATTATTGTAATTAGGTAGATAGGTAGATAGGTATCAGGTGATGTGTTTCAGCATGTATTTATTCTCAGAGGAAATACTTTAAGAACACATTCCCTGGGAAAACCTCACCAATCAGAATGGGAAAAATAAAATTCTAGTTGAATTTCTATTTAAGAACAGATGGATCTCCAAGGAATGGAGGTATGAAGGAAAATTTGTTCACATGTGGACATGTAAATATGACTTTGTGTGGTAAAATGAAAAAGACAAAGGAAAAAGAAGACATAAGATCTGGGCTGTTTTTTGGTTTTTTTTTTTTAACTAGTAGGAAAAAAGTTTAATTTCTCAGGATATAGCAAAGGCTAGACCTGTAAGCCTAGAAGAGCTCCAAGGGGGAATGCAGATCAACCCTTGCCTACCTAAAATTCCTGTGAACCATCTACAGACAGCTTTGACCACCTTCTTCAGCAGGTCACAATGCTCTTTTAGTGATTTATTCTAGAATCCGTCTTCATATGGTAATGGTTCTCGATGTCAATTATAATTTTTAATTTAGATCTTTGAATCCTTCAGGAACATAGAGTTATGTTCCATCCTACTATTTAAAATTTAAATTTAATCCTACTATTAAAACCAACTTCTAATACTTGCATGATTTGTAGAGTTTGGAAACAAGAAATCTGTTTCTATTTCTCGTCCTTTTTACAATTCTACTTCTGGTTCAGGTATCATCTGCCTAAAATACCTAAGATTAAACACGAATTCCAAAATAAAGGACTTGTTCCCCAAGGTTGCTGCATCAAAATTGCTTACATGCAGAGTGGCAGGTGACCAATCTCAGTACACAGGTTTTATGGCTACTGCTACGATGCTGGGCTCCTGTGTATGCAGCTCAGCATCTTGGTGTCTCTCAACTCTGCAGACCTATTGACCCCATCCAGCAGGATCCTAAGTCTAAGTCCCCCTTGTCTGTACTGAGCACCCACTTTACATCCATACATCTGCAGGCATCTTTTTCTCAATAGGACAACTATGAATGCAGCTGGCTGGGATTAAGGCTATGAGGAGGAAAGAGCCGAGAGTGTGAACAGCTCAGCTTGATGTAGCATTTTAATGAAGGTGAGATAAAGTTCAGCATCAATAGTCAATACACAATGCCTAAACTGTCATATTATGAAATGGGTAGGACATCAAAAATCACTTCCACTTCTAGATTCTTTCTTATTTATAGGGCAACTGAGCTGCTTATATGAAACAAACCTGTAAATTAAAATATTCCCAATAAACTACAAAATATGGCAAGATTCCATGTCCTAAAGTGTGAATATAATAATCCATATGAAATAATTTTGAAAGCCCAAAGAGTGTGTAGAAAGAGAGAATGACTAAATTAATAAGCTAATACTGAAATTAGTCATCGGTCAGTGTCCATCAGCAAACAGAGACAAGAGTAACATAGAAAAGGGAAAGAAGAGCTACAGTCATCGACTCTATTGGAAAATGCACTGCCACATGCTTCAGGTATTTCTACTCAGTAAAAATATTTAATAAAATCCCTGCTTTCTATGTAAGAAAACACTTCTGTAGTTAGGGACAAAGTTTTACCAAAAATAGGATGCAATCCTCCTTCAATGACTTTTAGGTATGAAGCATGCATCTTAGTGTGATGGTAGAGATATTATGAAAGCAACTAGAAAAGGTTATACTTATAACATCTTAAAATCATCTCGGATAAGGTACAGTGAGAGCTAAATGATTTACAAATAAGGACACAAGAGCCTCCCCCCACCCCCGCCCCACTGTATTTTTGGCTCAAAAAGAAGTGCATAGAATTTGAAAGTGTTAAAGCTTACATTTGAAATGACGAATGTAAGACTAATTTAGAAAAAAAATATGTTTTGTGTCTGGATCCAAAAGCAACTAATTTTTAAAGTAAAACTATGCTATCATAAATTTTTATCAGAAATTGTAGACATCCAAGTTCTAATTTCATTTCTTTTCTGCATTAGAAATTGGCAGCAGAATTTAGAACTGAAGTGAATAAACACCAATCTAGTAGATAATTTACCTTATAATAAACTGATTAACAAAATGTCATTTTTCCCACAGCAGTATATTTATTGTGCTGAAATCAGGTAGCAGGGAACAAATAGCTCTGGGGAACCAGTACAGAATGTTCACAAAGATTTACAAATCTCTAGTCATTACACACTGAGCAGCAAAAACACAGGTGCTGAATCCTCTTAGACCAAACAACTATATTTGTTGCAAATTTTCTATAATTTTCATGACTGCATACCTTTTGGGGGAAAAGTGTGTAATTTTAATGCACAATAAATATTTTATAGTTTACAAATATTCTGAAATAGTTGGTCTGCACAAACAGCATACATCCTGCACATGCAGTTTTGACATCTTGAGATGCTTAGAAAGATTCATGCTTTCGTTTTTTGTGTGTTTTTTTTTGGGGGGGGGCGGGGGGGAGGTTACATTTTCTCTTCCCATAATGATTCCTGTGCAACACCCTAACAATTTGACCTATGTAATAAGACACTGTACAACTTCTCTTTCTTAGTGAATTTCCAGTTGTTCATTTACATTACATGAAATACTTCATTTGTAAACAGCAAATTTAACTTTCTGGTTCTGACTACTCTCATTTTTATTCGTTTTGTGTCTTAACAATTAACACCTTGTAACAATCAAGCACTGAATTTAATGATTTTTTTTTAGCACCAAGGAGTCAGGAATATTGCACCAAAATGGGTTTACACTTCATATCTAGTTAATAAATAAGATCTTGCAACTCTGTCACAAGAAAAATATCACTCCAAAATTAAACCCATTGAAAGAGAAGAATAGTTTCACAGAAAAATTTGGTGTATGCCCATTTGTAAAAAAGCAAAAAAAAAAAAAAAAATACTCGTGGATTGGATAGTCAATATTAAGATCTACAATAGAGGACTCCTTGATTTTTTTAATTAAAATTTATTTAATTTTAAATGTTCTTTCCAACAGAAGAGGTAGGTATATTTCCACATATGAAAAATCGGTTAACAGCCGCAAATCAAAACATTAGAAATCTGGTAAAAATCAACATACTGTCTCCTAACAGCACATGAATGTAACTATTTATGATGTCACCAATAAAGACATGAGTTGTTTCATGTTCCAATCAGACAATAATCTTAATTTTCATCATGTATTTCTGATAGTCATAGAAATATTGAAAGGCTGCCTTTTCACAAAAACTGTTTCCCGCAGTGATTTGTGCCACAAGTCATGGTGACCTCTGGGTCGCCAGACAGGATTTTACTGTAATTCTTTCTTATTTTCACCAACACCATCATCATCAAGCCTCTAAAAGTCTACAGAGATCATCAGATTTTAAAAATTTAATTACAACCACAAAGGTATATTCAAACCAGAGGTGGAGAGATTCGATCATTCCAGTCAGCAAACGAATTCAAATGTGCAAATTTTAAAGTATCTGCATTTCCAGCTTTGGACCAGCAAATGTATAGTAACTGATTTAATCAGTAGGTAATTAGTAATTTAGCCAAAAAACTTATAAAGACTGTGTTTCTGTGATCATCGGACTGAAGAATAACTGCATGTAAGATACATGAGAAATTTCATGCAATAGACAAATGATGCCTCCAAAGTCACATAACAATTGCTTTGGTCTGGACAACATGAAAGCTAATAAAAAAAAATGTTTAAAATAAAAACTTCATAAATAAAACATCTGGGTATCATAGTTAACACTTTACTCAATCTAAAGGTCACTAATACATAAGAGCACATTTGCCATTTTTCTCCCCACCCCAAACCCTCATTTGCTTGTTTTCCCTGAAATTTTATCTGAAATGGGAGCTTCCTCACTGTCAACAGCAGTTAAGACCTCGTTCAATTTACTCTCCTTTTGCTTTTCCATTTTTCTGCTTTTTGCCATTTTCTATCACCAGTTTTTCTGATTTGTTCACACCATTGGCTGAAATACCATTCACAGCTGTTTTTCCAGTGTTTGATTTTTTAGGCTCATTGTATGTCCGAATGTAGAAGTTGAGAAAGAGAAATATGAAGCTGATTGTGTAGGCAATCAGAGCCCAGTGCATCCACTTCGGGAAGGGGCAATCCGTGTAAAGAGACATTGCTGTGTGTCCAATGGTCACAAAGAACTGAACCTGGAAAACAGAAGCAAATGCATAGCAAACAACTTCAGAATCTTCTAGATAGCTAAGGCAGGCCCAAATTCTGCCACCTTATCCAAAGTTTAATAGTTCTCTGGCTCCCACTCCTGGCTCTTGCTCATTCAGGTAGCTGCTCAAATGCCATCTCCTCAGCAAGGCTTCCTGATGACTAGAACTAAAGTGCCTCCACCCAACCGGCCATTTCAATCTCATTCACCAAAGGGTTTTTGTTTTGTGTGGGTTTTTCCTTTATAAGAATGATAGCTATCTAAAATTGACTTCTGGATCACCCATCTTTCCACTTGTATGTAACTCCAAAGGGCAGTACACTGTTTTGCTATGATGATTCCTGAGTCTTTGGCACAGTGTCCGGACTCAATGAATATCTGTTGGATAATAATCCTATATAATAAAAGCATACTATGCAAATTGTCCCCTCAACAGGGAGTTCTTCTGGGAGTTCGACTGGGGGCAGGGCCAACCGGGGGAAGGGAGGGAGGCCCCGGAAGGCAACTGGCAGCCTCTAGGATCCCTACCAATGCACAAATTTCGTGCACTGGGCCTCTAGTGAATAATATCATCTAATGAGAGAGAATATCAGTGGCCTAAGAGAGTAAAGTAATAGTATTGGAGGCTCTTCAATTTTTGTGTTGCTCCCACATTTTAGATCGATTTCTTTCCACAAAATTGTCAGTAAATTGGTATCTATAGTTTTAAAATGAACTTCTTACAAAATAGCAGACAAGTAATAGGCATTTGAATTAACACTATTCTTTAAAAGCTCTTTGGTAAAATTTAGTAGGTAGTTGAAAATAGTGCAAAAAGAGAGACTCACTTTCAAATTGAAGAATTTTTAAAAGGAGAAAAACCAAAATTAAGATGCTTTTAATTAAGATGAGGCAAATCAGTTTAAATTCTAATATATTAATAAATGAAAGGTTCTCAAAATAAAAATTATGAATTTCATGGTGTTAACCAGTGTTATGTTTTTACAAGATTAGCCTACATGATTATCTGTTGTAAGAACTGGAAATACACTACCCTTCATAAATTAACATCCTATTTGGAATGGACTTTTGTGGTTTCTCTTTAAGGATATCATTATCAGTATTATTATATCAAATATTATTAAAATAATTTATTCCAGGTAAGCCCCAAACTTATATCACACTAAACACTTAAAAAATTTTCCATGGCAAATCCAGATTTTAAGAACTTTTGATTTCACAATGGTTCTTGGACTGGCATCACCGAAAAAGGGTGTGTCTGTGGGTGTGACTGAGTATGGCATCGCTAAAGGAGAGTCAGGTGCAGGCTCCAACAAAATAGGTATCAATAGTTCATGTGATTTTTGTAATCTCTTCATTTTCTTGGGACCACTTACTAATTACTAAGAGAAATAAATTACACAAACTGTATAAACAGCTTACACAAAAACTGAAGGAAGCTTCCTGTAGCATTTTAATTACAAATGAATCCTTCACACCAGCATTCACCAAAAGTTGTGTTTCCTGTTTGGTTAGCCAGCTGTTTGGCAACTTAAAGCAGAGATGGATAATATTTCCAAATGTGATTTCACTGATAAAATTGTGTGCATGCTATGATTAAAGCAAATTATAATAAATTCCAAGGCTTGAAGAATACTACCAGGTTGGTCTGGGTTTCCAGTTTCATTACTGGGCTAGTGCCTAGCTCTGAATGTTACACTGAAGCACCCAAATGCTATATGAAGTCCTACTGGGGTATGTGCTGAAAACTGTCTGCTCCAAAGACTAGCAATTGAAAATAGCTAGCTCTGCTCTCCGAGGAATTGGTGTTAGAGAAATAAGAGGAGTTCTCCAGTCCTTGTTCCCTTCCTTTACCCCAACCCTTTCTTGGCTCTATGCCTTTTCTTCAACTTTTATTCTAAATGTATGGGATTTGTTAACAATTACTGAAAACTGGAACAGCAAACAGGATGAAGAGAAATAATATTTTAAGTAAATATTTTTAAAATCACCTAAGAGTTATATTATTTTTCTAGACATATATGAGTCTATGTACTTTGTGGTGTGCTTAGATCTTTACTCATCCACTTCACAGATATTTATTTGTAAAGAATATTCTCTTAGACAAGAGCTAGTCTAGTCTTTTAAAGACATTTAAAAAGCAAGTGGCCATAACCCATAAGTCTATGAACAGGTAGCTCAGAGCCAAGCAACCTCAACTCCCAAAGCTGGCTCATAGAGTTGAATTTGTAATAGAAAATTGTCAAAAATCACTCAGCACTTTACAATAAACTCAAACATGTTCAGTGTTGTGCCAGAAGAAACTTTAGAAGCATTTAACTCACCAGCTGCAACATGGTCAGGTATCGTTTCCACCAAAGATACTTCTGAATCCATGGGCCAAATGCAGTTAGCCCATAGTATGAGTACATAATCACATGAATGAAGGAATTCAGCTGGGCTCCGAAAAATGCTTTAAAAAAAGAGGAAATTACAAGATATAGAAAATTTTATTGGTCAATAAACTATTTGGATATGAAACAAATGAGTCTACTTTATTTCCTAACAATCTTGAGTAAAGATTAGGAATAAATGTTGTAAAATAGTACTATTGAAAAGCTTTCTCGTCAGAGCATGCTAGATATTTTTAATGTTTACACTCAGGCTTTTAACATATAAAAAAATGGATGTTCTTCAAATGCAAAGGACTTTCAAAATAGTGAGCTTCCAAGTGGGGTACTCCAGTAGTTTAAGTGGGCCCCAATATAGAATTACCTGTATTACTTTTCATCCTATTATTCTTGAGGGGGGAAGTCATGGTACAAATAATGGTTTAAGTAAATTTTCAAATGTCTCATTATTGCCTTTAGATGTGCCAATATAAGTACCTACAAAAATATTTCTTAGGCTTCTAAATAATTTTAAGTGAGGTGAACTGTACTATAATGTCTTGTACCATGGGTCCTCATCAGAGGAATGTAAATCATCTTCAATCTACAGGCATCTGAAAAGCTAGAGGCAGATCTTAGCCAAACTATGAATTCAGATTATCTTTAACATTAACAAAGCAATATATAATTTCCTTTGGGTAAGAATCAACATGCTGATTTTAAGGCATATTTTAGAGCAGGAGTGGGCTCTTGGCTTGAACTGGAATGGAGCCTTCAGACTGAGAAGCTATATCTTGATATCCTTTGGATGAAAACTACTAGAACTGCTCCCCATCAAAATATTATTTTCTACATTTATAATTATTTTATGCTCATCTCTGGGGCAAATCTTTAGTGTTAAAGTAGTCACAGGCAAAAAGCTAAAGCTTTACTTTCTTCAAATTTCTTTACAATGAAATTAATACAGAAATAATCATGAAAGCAAGTTAAATTATGGACCAACTCAAATTCCCAGGTTCTCATTACTTTCCATCCAACATATTTACATAATTTAATAAATGCAGATATGTTTCTGAAAGTGCTCACCTTGTCCCCCTGCGACCCACTTAATTCCAATCCACCACAATGTAAACATTGTACAGTGATGATATACATGAAGGAAAGAGACTTGGTTGTTTTTCTTCCTTAGGATAAAAAACACTGTGTCCAAATACTCAATTCCTTTAGACACAAAGTACCACCACAGAGCAGCAGCTATCTGTATAAAGAAAGAAAAAGCATTATTATTGGTATCATCATATAGTTTTCTACTCATTGTATATAAGTCCTAAATAATTTTCACTACACAACATGTACGAGGAATGAAATCATTTTTGCTTAAGAAGGTGTGAAATCTAGGCATCTATCCATGGGGGAAAAATGAGAAAGACAAGAGTCCAAACCTGTTTCTACTCTGTACTAACAATATAGAAAATATTTTATGATACATAGCTGGATCCACGTAGTACCAAACTGCTGTAGTACCAAGAGCTGTAAATACATTCACATTGCTATGTTTTTCAATTTGGTAAAGAAACTAAGGCATTTATTTTGTATAGGTACATTGCACTTCAATCGTTCATGCTTAGTCTATATTATACTTTATATTCTTGTAAGTACGTTTATGGATAGCAACCATCTCTGTTAGTGTCTATCTCTCTCTCTCTCTTTCTTTCACTTTAACACATGCAACAAAGTACCTAATCACAGAAGTCTGCATTAGGCAGTAAAATCTTTAAAATGGCAGATTAAAATAAATAAACAGAAACAACAAACATTTCCTAGGTCATAAATATAATCCTGCTTACATAAATAAGTCTTTTCTTTGGGGGGCTCTAATTAAGACACCAGATGGTACAGAAAGATTACTATACTGCTAAGATTAAGGAGCCAAGGATCCAGTGAGAGGTGACCTCTGTATATATGTTTCAAAGTATTTTAAAGAATTCTATTATAACAGAAGCCTAAACTCAACTTTTTATGTCAAGTACTTTTTATGATATGTGCCCTAGGGAGTACCTAACTGAATAAACCTTTGTGTGTCAGGTGTTGTCTAACAGATTCATTCATAGGCTTAGATGTTTTAGAGTTAATAGATCCCTTATTTTATCCCTGCACCTGTTGGATATCATGGGGTTTTGGTTGTTTGTTTTTTCTTTTGAAAAACAAAATTACATAAAGTGTGGGCCAAAGAGAAAATAAAATCTTTTATTTACAGGTTGAGAATTATTCACTGAATTTGTTTGCGTAATAATATGGTTAAAAATAGGCTTAAAATAGTTAACTACTCTCAGCAACACAATATATTTAATATTCACTATTATGTTAGTACCTTAAAATAAAGTAACCATTTTGGCATAGTAAACTTTATCTAGAAGGTAAAAGATAATGCCTTATCCTCCCCCCAAAAAAACTGGGCCTCTAAATTAGCCACAATTTATGAATAGTAATAAATAATTCCTATCTTTCATTTGTAAACTGTATTAGATACCTTTGAATAGCTACATCAAAGTGAAAAGTGATACTTCTTGGCTACATAACAACAAATACAAAAACAAGTCTCTGAGTAAAATATTTATTCTACTACATCTAATATTAAGAGGAGAAGAGACAGGGAGGAAAATTTCACATGCAATCTGCTGCGAATCTCTGGTTCTCTCTCCTCCTAGTTTACAGTCTCACAATAGCTAATTTCTTGAAGAAGTGACTAGTTATGCAGGCCAGGGCGGTATTTTAAATCTTTATCCTAAAAATATTAGTTTGTTGTTTCACCCAAGGGGTTTTTCTAAGTGCAGTCCTAAAAGAAAGCAAGTTAAACACTTTTTCCTTTTCTTCTCCCTGAAGAGGTTCTCTGACAATATCGTTATCAGAAAAAAATTCTTTCCTAGCCAAGAAATCTAAATGAGGTACTCCCCTCATCCTTTTCAGTCATACCACAGGTCTGATTTTCTTGCTACCCATTTGTTACATGACTATTGTTTGCCTCTGCCACCCTTCACAAGAATGTCAACTCCATAAAGGCAGGGTTCCCCTGTCTTTTCCGTGTCTTCAGTGCCCCTCACACTATCTGCATATGACTGATATTCAGTACACATATGTTAAATGAATAAAACGAATTATGACAACCAAAGGGGTGATTTTTTTCATCGACACATAAATCTTCTAATAAGGAAATGAAGGCATGGACATACCATAGTAAGTACATTAAAGCAGTTTGATCTTGGATCTTGATGAATATTGCTATTTATATTATCCAACCCCAATTCCAAAAAGCTAGTGTTTTCAAGGGAAGCTACTACATATCACATTATTACTACGTATATTACATGTAACATAAAACATATAATATGTTTACATGTTTTATGTGTATATATCTTTAAATATGAACCACAAACACAAGAGCAGTTTGATAAATACTTAATAAAATAACTATTCTTTTTTCCATTTGAATAAAATGATAAATTTATTAATGTAGGTGATTGGAAAGTAAAATATGATAACATTCTATTACTATTGGTTTATTTTTCTGCAAATATAATAAAAACTGAGTCTATACCTATAAAAATTGTGGTATACTATAAAACATGTTTTTCCTCAGACTTTCTTAACAAAAAATTAGAATCTCTTTATGAATTTCTATTCTTGACCAAAAACAATGAAAATCTAAAATATCTTTACATTAAGCATAGAACTTTTTTTAAAGTACTGCAATCTAGTAACCCAACAAGTATTCACACTCACACACCAAATGAAAAACACGGTAGGTAAGAAAACAGATTTTTAATTATGTACTTGAAAAAAATAGCTTTACTGACACAAAACAATCCAGTACACTTCTACCACTATATAAAAGTATGTTTTTCACAGACTGGGGACTATAAAATTAAATCTTCTGTGGTTAAGAGTTAATGTACTTACCCTGACTTCATTAACATTATCAGAATAATCCACACTCTGGCAAATATAGCTATATCCTGCTCTATAGGATGCCGTGAATAACTGGAAAAAAGGGGAATAACATTTGGAGTAAAGTTTTAGTAGATACAGCATTTAAGAGCCCTAAATACAATATGAAATCTTTGAAATTATTTTTAAAAGTAATATTATCTAAAATATTTCAAATGCATTAAATATTTAATGTGTTGGAATATTTACAATTTACTGTCTCAATTTTCTGAAATTTAGAATAAATTAAAAATCACATGTAACTTTTGGACTAAGACATCAATTCTATTTACTTCATAATATTAAGAGAAATTTTGATTGACCATTCCTCAGATCTAAGAGTTGTACTGATTTTTATTCTTGATCTCAAGTGGTTTGTATCTAACAAATTAGGTAAAAGTACCAAATAAATAAAAGGTTTTTACCAAGTTGAGATTCCGTAGCCTAAGTTGTCAATTAAAGAATTTGCTAGTGCCAAGAAAAGTATACAATGATTAGTAGCAATAGTTGTATAACAGTGAACTCATTTTACCTTCAATCCAAATTACAATGACATTATATAATAGGATTTAATTTGAAATTGGTATTTTACATCTGCATAGTTTGATCAGTTACGAACCTGAAACTGCTGAGTAAGAATTACAAATAAATATGTGCAACTATTTACTGAGTACTTAATATGTGCTAAATACTATGCAAAAGTTACTTCACTTTTATCTCTGATACCCTAGGCAGTGATGGCGAACCTTTTGAGCTCGGCGTGTCAGCATTTTGAAAAACCCTAACTTAACTCTGGTGCCATGTCACATATAGAAATTTTTTGATATTTGCAACTATAATAAAACAAATTTTTATTTTTTGATATTTATTTTATATATTTAAATGCCATTTAACAAAGAAAAATCAACCAAAAAAATGAGTTCGCGTGTCACCTCTGACACGCATGTCATAGGTTCGCCATCACTGCCCTAGAGGTAGGTATTTCCCCCATTTGTGGGAAAATGAGTCTCAGAAAAATTAAATAATTTCCAATGTCAGAATAACTCATAAGGGTTATTTTAGAACACAGTCTGCCTACTTCAAAATTTCCTTTTAAACACTTGTCCTATACCTTATGTATGTTTTATATTTTTGTTATCCAAAAATGGAAAATGTCAGTAATGTAAAATTTACTTTTAGAGCAAACTCGTGGCCCACGGGCCGCATGCCTCGTTTGTTTGGCCCGTGTTAGTCTCTGAGTTTAACATGCTTGCGAGTAACTAAGGTACTTTGTGGTACAATGTTACAATGATGGTTTTACATATTCTCTTTTTTAAATTTCCAATAACCCAGGGGAATTATAAAGTGAGTTTAGTAAACGTACCTCTCTGAAGATAAAAAGATTAAGCAAAACCATCCCAAAATTATAGACAATGAGTACTAAGCGCATCTGAAAAGGTTCTCTGGCCTTCATCCACTTTGGGCCCAGCCACACGAACAGGAGATAAAGAGTACTTATACAAAGTGTAGGCCATGGAGACTGCATTAGAGGCCAATTTTCCACACGTTTATCTACAGGGAGAACAAAATAACATAAAATTCATTAAACAATATGTTTTATAAAATGAATATTTTAGGAATTGTGTTTCAACTTGGCTTTCCTAAATTGACCAAATACAGATCATTGTCCTCTGAGTCCCAACAAAAATACATGACATAAAAACCAAAGAAACAAGACTAAGTCTCGTGAGCAGCTTTTGAAAACGAAGTTTTGTTACATATGTCACATGTTAGGTTTTACAGAGAACCTAGAGAACAGAGACAAGAAATAAAGCTTACTAAAAATATAGGACAAACTTGGGATGAGATGAGAAGTTAATGAGACACTTCATAGACAGAAAAATACTTTATGGAGAAACTTGTCTTCCATATTAAATGTGAAATTTATCAGTGCAGTTTGGAAGTTGCTCCCTCCTATGTTTAAGACAGGAAAGAATTAGTAAACTGAAGAGGTGTGGAGCAATAAAAGCCATTTCCTGGGATATTTCTGGATACTGAAGACAAAAGTAGTTATATTTGGGATATTAACTTAGAGATCATTACAGTTCTATAATTTATTTAAATGGTAATCATCATATTCAAGAAATTTTTCCAAAATTTTCCTTGAGAACATGAATCTATTTTTTTACCCATAAACATAACCAATTTATAGTTTTTCTCTAAAGCTATAAATTATTTACTTTACATATGTGTAAATATATATATAACACACTATTTCATTTAAAATAAATAAAGTGTCCTTAATATTGAAATAGGCATCCATGAATCAATTTTACAATAGTTCTGCCAGAAGTAAAATATTTCTAAGACAAGCATGAAAATGAAATATGCGGTTAACAAAAATTAATTTTCTAATACATTTTAAGAAGATATTGAAATTAAATTTTATATTTCTAAAAGTTAAACAGCATTTAAAAGATTGTGAAACTAATGTCTAATTTATTCTTGGTAAAACAAAGCATTTCTATGTTCTATTTTCAGGAATATTATATACTTTTAAAATAGTAAAAAAAAAAAAATTCTACCTTTTAGCCAGTTCCCAAAGCTAACCAAAATAAATTTAATTTACTTGCTCATTACAATGTCCCGTATTTTAAACTGTCCATTTTAATGAAACTATATATTAATTATATTTCAAAATATTTTAGTTAAAACTAAATGAATGTTTTTATATACTGTCAAAAGAAAAAAAGATTCAAGACATAAAACACAAATGGAACAATATTTAATCACAGTCTCCAAAGTCAGGAAGTAATATAATAACTATGGTTTCTATAAAATAAGAGTTGCTATAAAGGTAGAATAGTGACTTGAAAGAAAACAAATATGAGAACAAGAAAAACTGACTTTATTTCATAGCTTATAGGAAGTCTATTATCTGTCTATTCATGGAAATTATGGTTCTACCACTTGAATTAGAACGTATTCCAGACTTAAACTAAAATACTTAAAAGGACAGGAGAGAGAGTAAATCTCTCATAGGAGGGAGGAGTGGTATTTTTGTTTGAAGACATTGTGTCACTATGGTCCTATCAGTAATTGTACACTTTTCCTTAATGTTGGCATTTTATCTTTCTTTGATCATATCTTTCTATGCCAAAGGCCTCCTTAAAACATAGGGGTACTTATCTATTTAGATCTTTATTTTTCTACATTATATAAAAGTTTAACACAAACCCCCTAAACCTTAAAGCCTTCTCTACTTCAGGTCACTAAAGAAGGAGTTGCTATAGTGTGCTATTCTTATCCACAAACTTGAGGGCAGGTACTTTTTTTCCCCATGACATTGAAACAAAGAGCAAAAGGACTGCTTTAAGGAATAATCTATGTAACAAAGAAAGGAAGATAAATTCATCTGTAAAGAGACTCTAATTTCTAACATCAAAGATCATTTCTCACTCTAATCCACACACAGAATTCCTACTGTCTTCAAAGGATGTTCTGAACAATAATGTGCATGGGCACAATGTCTTCATGTCCTTCATCTATAAAACCGGATATAGGGGTAAACTAGATTAGTGCTTCTCCAACTTGAATGAAAAAGAAAAAAAAAGAAGAAGAAGAAGAAGAATCACCTGGGAGGAAGGAGATGCTAAAATGCAGTGTCTGACTCAGTAAGGCTGGGATGTAGCCCATTTTTAGGAAGATTCTGCATTTTTTAGAAAGCTCCAACTGAGGCTACGCTAATATTCCATGGACCAACTTTTAAATACCAAGAAACTAGGTGATCCCTTAGTGTTTTTTTAACTTCTGAAAATTGTTACTTTTTAAAATAATAATTAGGAGGAAGAATGGAATTGAAGGTGAGGAAAAGCGGATCAAGAAAATAGGCAATTTTCACTGACCAGGGGACCCATTTTACACTGCCAAAGTACCTGCACATGTTTCTGTTCCATTAGAGCAGTGGTCGGCAAACTCATTAGTCAACAGAGCCAAATATCAACAGTACACGATTGGAATTTCTTTTGAGAGCCAAATTTTTTAAACTTAAACTATATAGGTAGGTACATTGTTATTAACTTAATTAGGGTACTCCTAAGCTGGCCTTTGCTAAAAACGTCCTCAATCTGATTGAGGTACGTTCGCTGAGGTCGACCCCTTCCAACTCTCCCATCCATACTCTGTCTTGTATACTTGTTTCGTCTATCTCTTTTCCGAAAACCGACTTCTGAGCATGGGCCACGAAGTTTCAATCGCACTGTACATGCGCGCCCGCACGTGGTATTTTGTGGAAGAGCCACACACAAGGGGCCAAAGAGCCGCATGTGGCTCGCGAGCCGCGGTTTGCCGACCACTGCATTAGAGCACTCATCACCTTGTTCAGTCACCTGCCTTTAAAATGTAATCTCCCTGAAGGCAGGGGCTGGGTCTTTCATTCTTATATTGCAAGGCCTATCAAGGTGCCTAAAAATTTATTTAATGAATAAATGAAGAGTGGATTTTTTCATATCAGTCCTTTATTCTCAATTCCTTCAGTGAAATCCAACTGCACATTTACTGATACTCAAGGTTTCTTCAGTGTACAACCCCTTCCTACAGCTATTGCCAGATACTCCTCTATGTTGGTACACAACTTTAACCTGAAGTTAACACCACCTCAACCAGGTATTTAGTGAGTACATGTGTGCCCTATGAGGCTCAATGTCTTCAATGCTTTCTCCAAGAGAAAAAAGGCAATGCCCTTACTTCTTTGCCCAACAACACATGTCATGCATTCATGCAGCAACCACTTAACAACCACTTTCTGCCTATAGAAAGGCCACATTTCACACCAGATCCTTCTCAAATTAGCCCTTCCAGCTCTCAAAAATTCCACTTCCAATGATTATTATGAAAGTTGTAGTAATTGTCATCGACCTGAACAACAGCATAACAATTCCCATCCTACAATATTTCCATGAAATTTCCCGCCTTTGCAGTTATTTGTGTCCTTCTGAATTTACTTGCATTAATATTTCATTTAGTACTCAAACAACATTCAAATGCCCAACATGTTTCCTTTTCCATTAAAAAGGACTGAGTGCATCACAATAGTGTTTTACAATGATATGAAAATTCACTATTACTAACAGGTCCCCTCAAGTCTTGAACCAAAAAAAAAAAAAAATTTATAAGGAAATAGAACAGTCAAGGAAAATAATGAGTACTGAAGCTTTATATAATTTGTATTACCTTAACATAATGAATTATCAAGAAGGTAGAGAGACTAGCCAAAGAACATATATACATAGCCCATGGCCACAGACAAAAGTCTGGTGAAGGCCAGGGGAGGAGGTGAGCAAAGAGGGAGAAAAATGGGGGATATCTGTAATAGTGTCAACAATAAAAATAAATTTTTAAAAATGAATTATCGCCAAAACCGGTTTGGCTCGGTGGATAGAGCGTCGGCCTGCGGACTGTAGGGTCCCAGGTTCGATACCGGTCAAGGGCATATACCTTGGTTGCAAGCACATCTAGTGATGGGAAAGGAAGAAGGATGCAGGAGGCAGCTGGTCGATGTTTCTCTCTCATCGATGTTTCTAACTCTCTATCCCTCTCCCTTCCTCTCTGTAAAATATCAATAAAAATATATTTAAAAAAATGAATTATCCAGTTTTTCATTAGCTCAAATGTTTAAATGACTTAATTGTAAATTATGTGCCCTATTCATTTAAGTTACACTGAATCCAAATATAGATTATGCATATTAGAGTAAAAAGAATATGTTTTTCTAGTATGTTGTCAATATCTTAATCCTACACAGTTATGGGTGGGATCCAATACCATGAATTTATTAGTGGGAGGAGGGATTCTATTAAAAAACCCTGCCACCACTAGAGTCAAATTCTGTTATCAGGAATATCAAGATTCAAATGGCTTTTATGTAACATTCTTGGGAAATCTCTGTTTGAAAAGTTTTTTTGGAGGAGGTCTATATGGCACACATATAAACTGACTCTAGTTAAACTGTCTCATTTTTATACTTTATAGTATTAATAGGTTTATTAATATGCTTATGCCTTTGTGTCTTAGTGATTTTGCTCTTATTTTGAGCCTATCCTATATAATAAAGAGCTAATACGCCAATTAGATCAGACGGCAGAAAGACCTTCCAGAATGACCTTCTGGACGACCTTCCGGAAACGACCAGTTGGGGGGGGGGGGGACGAGGCAGCTGCGGCTGCGAGGGCCTACTCTTGCACGATTTTCGTGCATCAGGCCTCTAGTTCACTAATAATTTTAAGTCTTTCTCATTGCATGTTAAACCTTTATCTAAACTAGAGGTGTAGAATTTTAGATTTAGAAATGATCCCTTTATCTTAAAAATTAGATTCAGAGAGCTTAAGAGACTTGCCCAAGAAGGCGGAGCAATAGCCCCATGTATCCTGCCAGCTATTCCAGTGCCACTCAGTCACCATGTCCATTCATTTTGAGATATTGAGCAAAAAGAGAAAAAACTCATAGACATGGACAACAGTGTGCCAGAAGGAGAGAAGGGTGGAGGGAAGTGGAGGAGGCCATAAGGGGGATAAATGGTGATGGACACACAATA